TTCTATCTAAATGCACATAACACTTGTCACAACAATGTCTTATAATAATGCAAAATGACATGTTCACACAAATAAAAAGGATATGACCATTTTCATAACACTGCACGATTCAAAACAACATCAATAATGACTCAACAAGCCTTTCACACCATTCTTTATTATGAACACATCACACAAAATAAATTATTCACATTGCCTCTTATTACCCTTTGTTTCACCGTTAGTATTAATAAATGTGGACAAGTCAACCCATCACCAAGTCCCATTACTCCCAAACATATACCACAAGGAAATACACGCATTTCATACACTTAGCAAGAGTTTAGAAATCCACAAGCCTCAATCAATCAAGAACTCACTCCGGGACATGAGTTTTTCCCTTTTGTTGAACTTCCAACTCAAAGTAATCTATTCACAATAATAATCACAATAAGATTTTAAAAATAACAACAACCAACTCTATAATGAAGTTCCCAAGTTTCAAGCCTCGGATTAAGCCCCAAATTATTTCCAATAGCATAATTCCAATGGTATTCACATAATACCATACAACTAATACTTAATATGTATCTTAATGTATCCATCTTGAATTTTTAATGCATTAACTAAATTATAATTATTAAAATATGAGGCCACTGTTTATGAAACCAGTGGCAGATGAACAAAGGAGGAAAACATATCCTATGATGAGAGTAATACTATATATAATTAATAATTAAAAGCTATTCAACATGGCCAATCATTACGCCTCCAACATACAATTATTATGCCATACATTCCCACTAATATGTTCTCTCCAAAAGACACTGCTAACAACCATTTTCCCACAACTTATTTCTATAATAATAATAATATAATATGATCATATCTATAATTACCAATATAAGGATATAGACAAAATTGAGGTTTATCTTAGGATTATGTTCTTTTTGTTATCGCTGTACCACTGTTCTTCATTCCAAAAATTTTATTTTTACCCTCAGCGGTTTCTGATTTACAAATAATAAAACCCCCTTTTATTTGAACTTTAGTCTTTTTCTTAATACATGGCCTAAGTGAAATAGGTTATTGAATATATTTTTTTTTCTTGGCCCACTAAAAACTTAAATAAGTTAATTTTTTTTTAAAAAAAATTATCCATTAATTAAATAACTCTAGATAAAAAAGCAATCAAATTCTCATTTAAAATTTTATGCAAGAGATTTTTTTTATGAAGATAGTACTAGTTCTCTAAATTACCTTACGGGTCATTAGAGAGTCTCCTATGACCTAAACTAAGTTATGATTATTAAATAAAGACATTTCAAAAGTGACTCTAGCTTAGCACCGAGTGAACTAGTAGTGAGGAGTGTCCCTTATCACATAGGGAAGTAAGTTCACTATTGTACTCATGAGATTAGAGACTAGAATGCATGTAGAATAAAGACGGTCCCTAACACATCTTCTAGTTCTTGAACTAGACTAGAATGCATGTAGAATAAAGACGGTCCCTAACACATCTTCTAGTTCTTGAACTATGTTACCCCATAGGAATACTAGATAGTGGATCCACCTATATGTTATGTTCATGTTTAGTACTACCTTGACAAGTAGTCCACTTTCATTCAGTGTAGGGTTCCATGACACTGGATTCCACGTTAACTCATTCGGTCTATGTCGGTTAAGGCAACATGTTCCCAAAAGTACAAATTAACTAACAAAGTGAACTCTAATTAGGAGGACTTAAGGGATTTGACTTAGTCTAGGTAGGGATATGGGACTCTACATATGGATTATACTAGTTGCCTTGAGGGAATGTTACATCAGGGGAGCACCCCCTACAAGTAACATGGCGTACATGACCTCTCGGAGGTCTTATACAAGCCCATAGTTATCATTCATCGCATTCTCATACTAAATTTAGCGGAAAATTTAAATCTTTTTATAGCACATCATATGCTAGAAACATCACTTCATATATATATATATATATATATATATATATATATATATATATATATATATATATATATATATATATATATAATACTAGCCTCTGGGCACGTGCGTTGTACGTTTATCCCAAGTTATTTTGTACAATATTTTACATAATCATCTAAAATTATTGCAACATGTATTGAGTAATAAAAGACAATAAAAAAAAGTTCCATGAATGTATTACTCTTCTAGCTAGTTCATAGTAATGTTCAAAATATATGAAAATGGTATCTGACAATTGAACAAAAATACTTCAATATTCATGCTCATGACAACACTACACCACTACAATACATATGATTATATACTATATTAAAATAAATACACGAAAAAAATTGTAAATGAAAATTGTATAGGAAATACTCGATATTCTAAATTATAGATCTTAATTATTAGATAGATAAAAAAACTACAAAAAATAAAAATAAGGCTATAAGCTAAAGATGTTGTGCGTACATAGCAAATGAGATTGATGAAAAATCACAGAAAGCTAATAGCTAAATCAAATATATACTCATGAATTATAAGAATATACAGAAACATAAATTTTATTTCAATTAATTTTCTTATTTTTATTGTAATATATATTTTCAATTTTTGTACAAAATATTGTAAGAGTAATTTTAAGTTAAGTTAAAAAAACGTGTATTTATATTTTTATTCATAAATATAGAACAATAGTATTGAATAGATGTGATTGTATTTATTACTATTATTGTACATTTACATTTTTGTCCATAAATATTATGAGTATATAATGACATTTTGATAATTTAATTTTTAACTCGGGGGTTTTCTACTATTAATTGCACATGTAGCTCATATTATTGTTTTAAAATTGTTTATTTATAGTTAGTTATAAGGGATAATGCACAAGTACCCCTTCAACCTATGCCCGAAATCCCAGAGACACACTTAGACTATACTAAGGTCCTATTACCCCCCTGAACTTATTTTATAAGTAATTTTCTACTCCTTTTTAGCCTACGTGACACTGGTTAGGTAAAAAGCCAACCATCGTTGGACCCACAAGATAGTTCCACGTAGGCCGAAAAGGGTTAAAAAATTATTAATAAAATAAGTTCAGGGGGGTAATAGGACCTTAGTATAGTATAAGTGTGTCTCTGAGATTTCGGGCATATGTTGAGGGGGTACGTGGGCATTATCCCTAGTTATAATGTTATTATTCATATTTTAGAAGTTAATTGAGCTACAGATTAGAAGTTGAAGAAGTATGAATATTTAACATAATTACATTTTGTTAAATCTTTAGGAATAAACATACTATGTTATGTTCCTACCAATTAAGATATACAATATAATGTACTTCTATATCTCTTAAAAGATCTCGCCTTAACAATTTCATTTGATTGGATTGGTAATATTTATAGGAGAGACCATGCTACTTAATCAAAAAATTTAAATTGGAGAATACATGAAACAACTGTTTGGTGCTAAACCCAAGCTATCACAAGACTGTGTCTGACGTCAAATAGATTTCTTAGTTTGTAGTTACCTTCTTCCGAAGTCGGTGTTAATATATCAAAGTTAGCTCCTCTCTTAGACTATTCCATCAAGAACGACTGCATAAATAGTGTGAGACCTACGACGTAATTACTGTTTTTCTTAATCAAAAGATTCAATTTCTTTCTAGACGTCTTCATCCTTCATGCAACATATCTTCAAGCATATGTAATTTTATCACAACAAAATTGACATTTCATAATCTAATAAAAATCTTCTCAATTTAAGCACAAAATTACAAAAGAAAAATATTTTGACAAATAATTCAAGAGATTATCCTCAAAATCCTATCAAAAGAAAAAACTAATTGCAGCCGAACAAATCTATTATAAAATACGAAGCCGAAAAACAAAGAACAAATATATACAAAATTAAAAGGGACTTGTGTCAAATTAACGGTAAGAAAAATTATCTAAAAGTATATAAAACACACATAATATTACAACTCATTCTCCTAAGAGAACTATCATCATATAAACCCAAAAAATAACCAAGAATATCATACAAAATTTATGGGAGTTACTGCTGACATGTTTCTCTACCCAAATAAATGCTCATACCATTATCAAAATAATAACGCGTTTTGCCCCCGACGATTTCATCATATAATAATATGATGATTGAACTAAAAAATCGATTGTATTGAGAAATTGAAACCTAAAATTAAAGGAGAGAATATATATGTGATGAAGCATGCTGATGAGAAAATCTTTTAAGAGTGGTATAAGCTGTGAAAATAAAACTAATGAAAATCTTTTACTTGATTTGATAAACCATGTAATAATATTATTGAAAGTATATACTCTTTTTAGTGCAAATTTATAGAATGTTGTAAAGAAGGTGAAAAGGTTATTACAGGAAAGATGTCAGAAACAAAACATTAATAGTGAAATATTTACATGTAACAACTAAACAATTGAAAGACATACTAAATATTTTTTGAATACGAAGCAATTTTTTACTTTCAGATTTAATGCACATAGTGAAATGTTTTCTTTAAAAATCTTTTTACCGTACTTTTTTTAGGTGAAGAACATATTAAATTTTTTTACAAGATTTAGGGGTATTTTTCGTAAACAATCATAAAAATAATAACAATAATTAGTATTAAATAATAGTATGATATTTAGTATAATATGATATGATTACGATTGAATAGTAATCGATTAATTATGTATTTATATATTTTAATTTAATAAAGGGGTAAAATGGTGATACAACTTCACTTTAGAGGTTCCCACTTTTAGTAATATATGATATGTCATAATACATAATTAGACCTTAAGTCTCTTTTCCATCCTAGACTAAACATCATAAGTGTACTTTAGGGACACGACCCTTACAACATAATACATAAGTGTCACATCCGGGGAGAACCCCCTAGAAGTAACATGACGTGCTTTACCTCTCGGTAGTCTTATACAAGACCATAATTATAAATTATCGCATTGTAATAGTAAATTTAGCGGAAATTTTAAAACTTTTCACAGCACATCATATTCTAGAAACATCACTTCCATTATATAAGAATATAAGTCATACTAAATAGTTAGATTGTAAGTCTCTTTTGTCATCTTAGACTCAAGATCATAGAATAGATTAGGTACACGACCCTTTAACATCATAATGTAATACTTAAGTTATTATTATACATTGAATATAAACTTGATGTAGGAAATCATTGGAACATAAGAAATCCTTTCTTGGGATTGGAAAAATATTTCAAGTTCTTCACCTTAGTGAAATCCATTAAGCATCTATAACCTACACTTTGTGCAAAAAGGTAGAGAAGAATGATGTTAGTACAAGAATGCACTAAGTATGACAACCATGAAAAAACATGCATTTAAAATGGGACATTTTACTTGAAACCATGCATCATGCTTTTTTTTTTGTGAAAACTTCATAAAACCTTGATACAATAGTATTTATTCCATTTACATATTTCATATTGGAATATACAATAGTCTCACATCATGTAGAACCACACATTGCATTTAAGTCATATAAGTCACCACTTTACAGTTAACCCCCTTTCAATTATAGTGAACTTATTTCATTTTATAGTGAAGTCCTTCCTTTTACTTTAACTCCTTATCTTCTCAAGTGACCCTCTAGTCATACTTTGTGCAATGTATAGACAATGTCCCATAACACTATCCACACTCAAACATAACATTAAGGCCGCTAAGAAATCATGCATACAACCTCCATTAACCTAACATGTGCATTCATAGAAGTATTTCATATAATAATATAATATACCTAACACACATTTGACCCAACATGCTTTAGGCACTAAATAGATGGACTCATAACAATACCATATACAAGTCAAAACTTCAAGCATAATCATAGCTAGGCAATATAACATTAACATACTTGGACTTCACCTCATAAGAATCACATTGAACCCTTCTCATAATCCCTTCAGGTGTCTAATTATGCAATGTACATGTGAAGTCCCATAACCTCACACATACTAGGTAAACCTAAAATGTTACTACCCTTAACATGCATTTCACACGTCAACAAGACAAGCATAGAGAACCTTCTTCATGTCAAGAAAGACTTCATCATATAGTCAACAAGACCCATACTATGCATATAAGGTAAGACCACATCACATAAGCTCATTAAGACTCATACCATGCATATCATCACAACATGTAGACAACACTACAATATCATGTTCAAGGACAATAAATATAATCATATACATTAAAACACCTTCCTAGAACCTTCTTCAAGAGGTACTTGTGCTATATATGTGGTTTCATTACTTCCACCTGTCCTAAGTACCTTTCTTTAGGTTATCCTATTTAGGGTCTATTACTTTACTTCCATTGTCGATTTTACTTTAGGGAAACTATAGCCTTAACATATACTAAGACCATGGCTGCTAAAAATGTAATTTGGTGTTGTAGAGACAAACACCAAAGAAAGGTTCCCTACTTAGCTAAAGTAAAACTTTAACACATGCTAGCATACTATGTGATATCATTTGCTAGATCCTATGTGACAAGAGTAGTTTATGGGACTTGGGGGCCATCAGGGAAACACAAATCTATGCCCTTTTTGGACAATGAGGTTTTCCACCCTGTGAGGTCTATGGGGAACCCTACCTTCCATCCTTGGGAAGTTTTCACCCCCTCATCTACAAGTTCACTCTGTATTAAGGTAAGTTTCCTTTATTGAAAAACCTTTATTACATTGATTTATAAAACATAGGCTTACGACATTTAACCACTCATATGCTTATCTCATAGGTTATAGATGAGAGTTCATCAACCTAAGTCATGTCAGAAACCCTTGTAGTTGGACATAGCATATTCAAAGCACCATCTAGTTTAGAGTACTCTTGGGAACACCTTCCAAGCGCCCCTCTTTTGACTAGATCCTCATACATGTGTGTGTATACATATATGTGAGAAAACCTTTCACATAAACACATTAAGGCAACACATGTTAATACTTTACATTATTAGTGTATAAGTGTATAGGTGTAACTATATTGGCAACCCTTTCATATAAACACATTTAGACATTACGCACATTCATAACATAACCATGCATTCATATTCATGCACATAGGAATACCAAACCTAGGAATTATCCTATCAAGGCACACATGTGCAATGCATAGACAAGGTCCCAGACCCTTGCCCATACTAGTACACCTATCAAGTCATCCCAGTTAAGGGATACAGTTCATACTTCATAAACATATACTTAACATGCATAGTAGTATACATTAGTGTATAACGGAATTATCCTTTCATTAGACAACATGAATTGATACTACTTGATAAGCATGCATGAGGTGTGTGTGTACATTGGACCACATGTTCACATAATGGAAACAATCCTAACATTGTGTTATCCACCTTAAAAATATCACAATACGCATTTAAGTCCCTTGAACCATAGAGCACACACCACAAAATAACACAGGAGACAAGACATCTTCTTGAATGTAAGACTCCTAATCAATCATAAGACCACACATTCATGTAGAGGTTCATAGGTAGGAATCATACTACACAATAGAATTCAAACATCAACACGTAGACCATACCGAGCCCTAACATAGTGTAGAGGAAACATCATCAATATAACCTAGATCAAAAACTAACATTGGAGACTAGGGATAATACTTCACATTGTGTGATCATAATAACCACACTATCAAGATAAAATTGCCTTCAAGTCCACAATCACATCACATATAAAATGACAATAAGGTAAAAACTGCCACCATAAGTGGACCATACCACACAAGGTCATACATGGCTACATCAACTAGCATTTCTATAAGAAAAGTAGAGACAATAGATCAAACTTACGATTCCCCTAAGCTTTGATAATCATTGATTATTTCCAATAATTTAACATCAATAAAAGTAACAGTATCTAAAAGTACAATTTCATAAAGGAACCGTATTTCAAACATCATAGTTTTGAAGATCGCATTAGGTACAATACTTCCTTTAGTCTGTAAAAGTAGATAAATATAGATCAATTTACCCAAAACCTTCTCCTTCATCATCATTTATTACTCATTCAATAATTCATATTCAATTGACATGATTAAAAATAGTAATAGGCAATTCAACATAATTGAAATATAATTCAATCAACATAGAGTCAAGATTTGAAGACCACATTATAAGCCAATTTTTGAATTTAGGAGGATCATGGGCTCATCATAAAATTGGATTGAAATTCATATTTAAAAAAGTAGATAATCGTCAATTTATCATAAACATTCTTTTGAAATCAATTTGAGACAGAACTCATTCAATAATTCATATTCAATTGACATGATTAAAAATAGTAATAGGCAATTCAACATAATTGAAATATAATTCAATCAACATAGAGTCAAGATTTGAAGACCACATTATAAGCCAATTTTTAAATTTTGGAGGATCATGGGCTCATCATAAAATTGGATTGAAATTCATATTTAGAACAGTAGATAATCGTCAATTTATCATAAACATTCTTTTGAAATCAATTTGAGAAAGAACTCATGACTAGATTGGAAATTGGGAATTTTATTCTTCGAATCATGTTTGAAATCCTCGATTGACTCCTTAGATGAATGGGTAAATAAGTATGAAGGATCACCATACCTTATTTATTGAATGCACATGATAAATTTGAGAATAAACTATGAAAATCCACCCTATAGGTTGAACTTATGTTTTCCCTCGAATGGAGGTTTGAGAGAATTTGGAGAAGAAGAGTGAATTGGGATTTTTTATTTTCTTATCGGGTATTATGTTTTTGTCTTGGAAAAGGGGTTAAATAAGTCATAAAATAATTCTATAACCATCCCTTTAATTTACCAAAACACCCACATAATTATTGGGACTTTTAGACATGTCAAAATTGACTTTAAATCAACGCAATCGGAGATGGGAGTGGGCTGCGCGTCGCGGGGTAGCCTCCGTATTCTGCCCCTTATAATTTTTAGGACAATGAGGTGCGTGATAGCTGCGCTCGCACAAGGCAAGTCCCAAATCTTGGCTTGCCTGCTGCCTTGGGCAGCCTCTTGTCTAATGATTAGGTCCACCTTAGGGCCCTTTGGGTGTTCTCCGGGTAGTCGTACCCGGACGTTTTGACCCTTAACATGTATAAGGTAATAGGGTCAAATTACACTTATTTTAAAACTCAAGACAATACATGAAAACAAGGCCAATATACAAGGACACACAAGCACGTCTAAAGGGCTAAATTTCAAACCTCTTAGACATTCTTGAACGTTTGATCTCCAAACTTCATGAAACTTAACACACTTCCTATAAACATCATTATAACTCATATAAGGTTCTCATGATCCCATAATAAAACATAAGTACATAAAAACACTTAAGTCCCTTCGCGACTATTCGTCGAACGTCTTGATCGTCCCTTGACGTTTGACTTTCAAATCACCTCAAATAAAGTATACATACTATAAAACACTTAATGAAAAGATTTTAAAAAATTAAGACACATTTGAGGCTCTAGGAACCTGAATGCATTTTCAAGGTCTTACAATAAGTATAGTACTAAAGACTTACACTAACCTAATCATTAGGACATCCTTGGACTTAAGGATTCCTTTCCTTGAACTTGGGAATCACATATCAAGATCCTCATTTATAAATACATCCTTTAAGCATACATAAACTACACTTTGTGTAAAAAGTATAGAATAATGGAGTTAGTGCAAGAATGCACTAAGTATGGCAACCATGCAAAAACAAGCATTTAAAAGGGACATTTTTCTTGAAATACATACATGATGCCTTTTTGTGAAATCATTATAAAGACTTGATACAATATCATTTATATCATTCACATACTTCATATAGACATATTCAAAGGCCAAACATCATATAAAATGACACATAGAATTTAAGCAACATTTGAGGCCACTTTACAGTGAGCTTTTTTCACCCTACAGTGAACTATTTTACTTTATAGTTAATTCTTTTTATTTCAAACTTCTTGACTTTTCCAAGTAACTCTTCTAGTGATACTTGGTGCAATACATGAATTATGTCCCATAATACTTTTCATGTTCAAGGTTCACCTTAAGATCACAAGGAAACCATGCATACAACCTTTTTAACTCAACTAGTGTATTCATTAGACCATTTTCATAAACAAAGCACACACTTTACATTAGAACTCCATACTATAGATCTCATCACATCATGTAGACACTATCATATCATCATGTAAGAGAACCATAAGAATATGCACATGCATTAGAAAACCTTCTTAGGATTCCCTTAGATGTTACTGGTGCAATGTCTAGGTTGGTTCATTACTTACACCTATCCTAATTATCTCCGCTTAGGTTATCTTAGTTAGGGTCATTTACTTTACTTAAACTGCGTTGTCCAATTTACATTAGGGAAGCTAAGTGTTAACCGACACTAAGACTATGGGTGCTAAACATGGAATTTGGTGTTGTAGATTCTTACACAAAAGGAAGGTGTTATTACCTTGCCAAGATAAAACATTGACATATGCGAGCATACTAAGTGAACTCACTTGCTAGATCCTATAAGGAAATCACAGTTATGGAACCTGGAGGTACATGTGAAAACCCTATTTATACCAAGATAGAGCATTATGATTATTCACATATGGAAACCCTATTTATGCCTATTGAGGCATTGTGGTTATCCACCTTATGAAATTTATGGTAGACCTTCATTCCCACATTGGGAAGGGACATCACTTATATTCAAGTTCAGTCGGTGCTAAGCTAAGTTCTCTTTATTAAAAGCCTGTACTAATATTACTTTATAAAATTAGTATTTAGGAGATTGACTCCCTATATGCTTAGCTCATAGGTCATAGATGAGATTTCATCAACCTAAATCATGTGAAAAACCCTTTCACATGGACATAGCAAATATCATTAGCACTATCTATTTTAGGGTACGCTTGAGAACACCATTCTAGTTCCCCTCTATTGGCTAGATCATTATTCATGTTTGTGTGTATACATATATGTGAGTAATCCTTTCACATGACATTTTTTAAACCACACATGTTCAAACTTCATTGTAAGTGTAACTATATGAGCCATGCTTTTATATAAGTACAATTAGACAGTAGGTATAATCATATTTCATCATACCACTTACTTAACATTATACCATATAAGACATGTTCATAACATACTCATGCATTCATATTCATGTACATAAGAAACCAAATCTACGAACTATCCTATCAAGGTATACATGTGCAATGCATAGTCAAGGTCAAATACCCTTGCCCATGCTAGTACACCCATCAAGTCATTATAGTTAAGGAAACACACATCACACTTTTATAGACATAACCTTAACATGTATAGTAGTAGACACTAGTGAATATTAGAACAACCTTTCATTAGACAGTATGATCCTATACTACTTATAAGCATCCATGTAGACTGAATGTGTGTGTACATTGGTAAATGTGATCACATAATTGTTATCAACAACACATTGAGGCATCCACCCTCTTAGGACCACAATACAGTTTCAAGCATAGACCACACAACACACAATTGCATAGGAGATAAGCCAACATTATATTACACTTAAGACTCCTAAATGTTGCTATTCATACATTCACATAGGGGTACATAGGTAGGGTTCATCATTTCTTAATACTTCATTTATAGAATAACCTACACATAACCCTACATAATCATTCAAATACTCATTACAATAGTAACATAACCTAGATTATCAAATAGAGTAGAAGACGAGGCACAAGTTACACATAAGGTTAACATCATAACCACACACTCATATATCCATCAATTTGTCTTCGAGTCCATAGTGAAAAAATATATATTGAAAATAAAGTAAAAAACACAACAATAAGTGGACCATACCACACAATGTCATATAAGGCTTAATCAACTACAATAATATTGAAAAATGGAGGGGAAGAACCATTCTTACCAATTCATCAACCTTATAACATCATTGATCCATACTCCTTTTTAATCATACATACATTATAGGGAAGTAGATAAATATGCATTTAATCATGAATGAAACCATGTAAAAGTCGCTACAAGATCATATTACAATCTAATACAATAAATCACATATATACTAGAAAGTAGAGAGATATAGATCATCAACTAATTTTTCTAGTCTTGTTCATATATAATATTGTATCAAATTTATACATTAAAGCAGTATCTAAGAGATAGAAAATCATAGCTAAAATAATGCTTCATCCACCCTAGAATATAAATCACAACATATACTTTACTCTATCAAGTCTATAGGCTAAAAGAACCTCTAACAATATTTACCAATTCAATTTTTGTCTATTTATATTGGATTAGTTATACTTAATTATCATCATATTACACATATAGGCATTATATAAGGCAATTCACCATAATCGAAACACATAACAACCATCCTAAGTAAAGATCACAAGTTGCTACTTGATAGACTAGAAGGACCTAGTTCAATTCATTCCAAGCCTTCTTTACTTTGATCATACAAGAATTATAACCAGAATTTCACAATGTTATTAACCAAAGGCATTATCTACAAGAATCTTAATATAATCAAACTCCACTTTTGTACATTTAAAGGTCAATATTACAGTGATCACATAGAGGCATAGGCTAATCATGTTCAAATCTTCATACATTGATCAAATTCGATAATTAATAAATAATTCACCATAAATATACTTAAATATAAGTATATATTACGAATTCAATGTAATATAATCAAAATTTAACCAATAACAAGCCATGATCACAATGTCCATGCAAGTGCTAAATAGAGTTTGGGAAGGGCCATGGGTTCATAGTGCAATTGGAATAAAATTCACATTAAAACAAATACATTATTAACAATTCATCTTGATTAAGCCATTAAAAATGTTTTTAGAACAAACTCATTGCTAGATTGAAGAAGGAGCATTTTGATCATGAAATATCTTTTGAAAACTTTGAGATTAACTCTCTAGATAGAAGGATAACTAGAGGTGAAAGATCACTATACCTTTGTCTAGAAGAAAAACTCTAAAACTTGATGAAGAACCCATAGGAATCCAACCTCTAAGATGTTCTTGAGCTTCAAATTCAATGGAGGGTATAGAGAGAATATTTTTTGAGGGAAAGCATAATTTGTGTGAATTTGATTGGGAATGGGTTGATCACATTTTTTATCAGTTTATACACCCAAAAATCACCAAATAAACTATGTAGGGTAAGGTAGCACGTGGGGAGAATTTCCTATTCACCCTTTTAATGAAACAGTGCGCATGCAATAACTGAAGGCCTGCACCAATGACCACTATTATTGCCCAGTACGTCAGTTGAAGGACCGTCTGTGGCTTCCGTCGATTGGATCGACTACACCTCATTGAAGGGACGTTTGTCAACAAGCGAGGCTTCTTTTTATTCAGTCGAATGACACTGTCAATGCACTGTCTCGATACACTTTGGGTCCTTTTAGTGGGATTTTTTGCGAGTTCCTTGGGAAGTCGTACTCGGATTTTTCAAACGTGAATATACACCTTAACATGTTGAAGGCATTCCATAAAAGTTTCACAAAAAATGCACATGTAAAATATACCCAAACATTCAAGGCACACCCTAGACACACACGAACGTCTCAAGGGCTAACTTTTGAACATCTTTTACGTTTGACCTCCAAACTTCATGAAACTCTACATACTGACTGTACACATCATTATTAATCATTTTAAGACTTCATAAGACCATGAAACAATCAAAACACATAAAATCATCTAAGGGACCTTAGGCAACTAGTCGTCGAACGTCTTAGTTGTCCCTTGAAGTTGACTTACATATAGATTCAAACTTTACACACTGCCTCAATACGATATTATAAACCATTTTAGGACCATAGATGCTTAGTAAAATCATGTTATTCTCTATACACCCTAACTCATTTTAGGGATCTTACGCGTAAATCTTAGAAAGTGATTCTTATGTTTTTAAGCTCTTATGAAATAAATGTTATTCTTATCTTTGATTCTTCACTTTAATGGTAATTGTTTCTAAATATGAGGATGAGTACTTATAATTTTATATTATGGGAAGTTAGACTTTATTCGTGATCCTTTGGTTAGTTTGCTCGGTTGAGTGGAGTTGTGGGGTTTCACTTGACCATTGCACTAGTAGAATTAGTGAACCGTTATGGATAAAGTTTTACCTATATTGTAATTTTATGGGCTCATGAATATTCTTTATTGTTATGAAATCATGTTAGGGTTGCATTAGATTTGAATTCTACTATGCTCTGTATACACGTTGACTTATCTTAACTTGATTATGTTTGTCTTCTATTGACTATGTTTGTATCATAACAAATATATGATTATTGTATTTTTGTGTTCTTGGGTTGTGCATATGGCTTTTAAAAGTAAATTGGCATGATTTCTTCAAATGTACCTTTTTATTATGACTTCTATGTTGTGTGTGCATATATTTCCATGCGTAGTATAAGTGATGTGCTAGCCTCTATTTCTCCCTTTTCCCAAGAATTTTAGGTTCCGATTGTTGAAGGGTTCGTGAAAACGTTGCAAAGAAAGCTTGGATCATTTCTCCAAGTGTGGGTATTCCCTCAAGTTCCAAGGATAATGCCTTTCTCTTACTCTAGCTATGTTACATCTTATAGTCTAAAGACAATTATTTCACCTCTGTTGTTTTAAAATGCTGTTGTAAGCCCAAAGTGTAATTTATACATTTGTTTAAGGGTTATTCCATATTGTTTTTTCTGTTTAGATGGTTTATATGTGACATCCCTATTAAGACTATATTGTGTACGTTATATATATGTGGAATAAAAGTAGAAGATGATGTAATCTTATTTTATTAGGAGTCTAAGTAAACTCGCTATGAAAATATTGTGTACGCGAGAGGTCTAAGTAAACCTCTTGAAGTATATGTATATAAAAAGTTTTAATTTTCTGCACTTTTAATCTACGAATGTGATGACAAATTCTAAGAGACTAGTCATAGTTCTCTCTTAAGACGACGACGCCCGTTACGTCTAGGGGTGCTCCCCAGATGTGAAAAACATGGTATGAGATCATGAGGTTGAATATATTTAGGGTCGATGTCTCATTAAACCCTGTCTGTGTAGATTCTTTTTCATAATTGTGAAGCGCGCCACACTTATGAATGTGAGACTATGTGATGCTTAGGAAACTCTAAGCTTTTTGCATTTGTATGTAGTGCCTCTAGAGTGATATTATTTGGTTTCACCTAAACCTTATTGTTGTTATGGATATGAATACTTGAAGAATATCTCCTAGAATAGCCGAGGAAGAGATGCCTAATTTGGGGGATCATAATAACCAAGTGGCTCCACAAGACAACCAAGTGCCTCCACTTGTAGAAGTTGCTATAAGTGATCATGTTCCGGTTGTTCCTCCACCAATGAACGATGGAGAGATAAATTTAACTTTTCTTAATTTGGCCCAAGACATGACCTCTCAAGCTAATGTTTTCACTTCTCAAGTCCAAGCAATGACAGCCCAAGTGAAGAGGGAGGTTGGACCTTGAGTGCCTCAACATGCTATCACTATGGCCTCTCGTTTTAGAGACTTTACTAGAATGAACCCACTTTTGTTCTTCGGATCAAGGTCGGATAAGTACCTTCACTATTTCGTCAATGAGGTCTATAAGATTTTGTATTCTATGGGTGTGATTTCAATTGAGAAGGCCTAATTAGCGGCTTATAAACTTAAAGATGTGCCTCAAACTGCATATACACAATGGAGAGATAGTAGTGAACTAAGAGGTGATCTGGTGACTTGGTTGATCTTCAAGAAGGATTTTCTTGATAATTTCTTTCCTAGAGAGTTGAGGGAAGCTAAGGTGAAAGAGTTCACCTGTGATACCTCTAAAATTACTTAGGTGAATCTAGAGCCTAGAATGGTTTTATGAGGTTCTAAGGTCCTAAAATGTTTAATAATGTTGTAATGAGGCAGATTCTAAAGATTCAGGTGAATTGGAATTCAAACTTCAAGGACAACAAAGATGTTCGACGATTAGTTACCTATGTGCCTCATATGTCTTTATGTGCTTATGTGTGTGTGTCGTATGATATTACGAGGTCCTTATATAGGTAATCGTAGTTTTTATAGGTAGAGTATCAGTGTTTCATGAAGTTTGGGGGTCAAACATCCAAGAACGTCCATGACGTTGGAAATATTTACTTGTGATGACCTGGTGTGTCTTATCATGTTTCGTCAAGTTTTATGTGTTAGTTTTGGATAAAATTGATTTGAGAGGTCCTAAAATCGTATACGATCATATTTGGGTTGGAAACGTCCAGTTAAATATCACTAAGGACCATCCAATGGTCCTTGAGGAAGAATCCATCTTGGTGGCCAAAACTGCCAAAGACAATCCCACCTACAGAGGCAATCGACGTACAGTAGGCTGAAAGACGCCCCATAGGTAGAGGGAATTGGTCAAGAATTAGGCGTGGGAGGATGTCCTTCCAAGGAACAGTCTCAGAGCCAAACAACAGACCAATAGAACAGTACATAGAACAATAAGAATTACTCTAGATAGGAAAGTTGGTTGATAAATTAGGCATCATCCAAACATAGGAAGTATTAAGGATTATTAAGGTAATATTGGAGAGGGTGTATGGGCTTTTTTCTTGAATTACTTACGCAAGTCTTTTGGTACCTTGGGTAAGAAGAATGTCATATTATATATATTATGTGTTTTTGTGTATTGTAAGTGTATTCATATCATTATAGGTACTCCAAATGATCATTTAGGTGTGCTTACAGAGGGTCACTATACCATTTTAGGCCTATGGCCACACTAAATCTGAGCAACACTTGAAAAGTGTTGCCTAAAATATTTTTCAGAACACTTTTAAAATGTAGCCTAAATTTTCATGTTCTTGAAACTATAATATTTGCAACACTTTATTGGTATAGGCTACCCTTTTTTAGTGTTGTCGTAGTATGAAATTAATGGCAACAATTATTTATTTATATGGCCACACTTTTATAGGGTCCTATGTTTATAATTGTAAAAACAACATTTTAGAAGTGTAATAAAAAATTTAACCAAAATATTATATTCCCTCAAACATTTCTACTCTCCGTAATATTTTTATTGGCAAAAAATATAACTTTTCAAATATAAGGAAAAACAAATTGGGGCTTAGAGATGAAGCTAAGCTGAAAAATCCACACTATTTTTACACTCAAGAACATATTCTCCAGAACATAGCTGAAAAATCCACACGATTTATCTTCTCCGGAATTTCAAATCGACTGAAGAGGAGCTGAAAATCGATAAGAGGAAGCTGAAAAATGGAGGAGCTGAAGAGAGGAACTGAATACTGAAGCTGAGGTGAAAATCGGAGGAGCTGAACTGATTCTATTCTCCAAAATCGAAGAAGTTGAAAATTGGAGGAGTTCAGCTGAGCAGATGTTGACCAACAAATTCTACACTCCAAGATTTGTTAGTGTAATATGTTCTTTTCCCCAAATACGGAAGTACGATTTCTTTTACAGATTTCTGTCAAAATTATTTACAGATTCCTTGTTGAAGATCGAAGAGCTGAAGAAAGTGATTTTCGTCACATATTTTTGTTGATGAGTTTCTCTTTTCATCATAGATTCTTTGTTAACGAGCTGTTCCGTCGAATTTCACAGATGAACAAAATGTTTCACACATGAACACGCCTTACGTCTTGGGTTGTTGCAACAGTTTTTATAAGGTATGAAATTTTATCTCTAAGAGTCCTAATTATAGATTTTAGGTTTTGATATTCTTGTGTATCTTTGAATGTCTAAATTTTAATTTAGGGTTTTAATATTGGTGTGTTGTTGATATGAATTGACCTACCTCCTAAGGTTAGTCAACTAAACCTATACAATGAGTTTGTAATTAAAGATTAAGCACGTAGAGAGATTACATAAATTAAGGATATTTCCCTTTACAAAAAAAATTAAAGAATCTAAACTTATTGAAACAACTATACCTAAGATAAATATACTCAATTTGAACAAATATATCAATTATATGACTCTTTCTGTCTTTCTGTAGCAAAGGAATGATATAGGCATCTGGAATGCTCTATAGTTTGTGACTTTATAAACTTGTTGGTGGGTTGTTGATTTTAGTATATATCCTCAAAATGTAAGTTGTACTCCTACACTCCAAGTCTGCATAATATGATCACTTGCAATGCATGACTGTGCTACATGTTTCTGACTTTGTTACCAATTCTCTGCTGGAATGCATATGACAACAATCTATGTTCCCAGATTATCAACAACTTGAATATCCCTGCTAACCAGACAGCAACTAGCTGCTGCCTACAATCACATATCTGCATATTGTTGCACTAGACTGTAATTGTCTTTATTTGATGTTGAATGTACGTTCTCTCATTCACTTAGATGCATAGAGTGCTGACTGTTAGAGTTTAGGACCTAATGACATGATTATATACAACCTAAAATTTGTAAACACAAACCAAGCTAAACAAAACTAGTTAAGTTCAGAATGACAAGGAATTATACAGAAATAAAGGAGGAATTTTAATCTTTCTTAAATGATCATAGTGCACAACAACCTAAACTTTATGTTCCTAATAAACAACAACTTAAATAATATTTATGTTGAAAGGCAAAAAAAAACATAAAGTCCAGAAGTTTTATATAACATAGAGGAAATCTAGGAGGAACATTATTCCTTCTAAGCTTTTTCCTTCTTAAACATCGCATTCCAAACTTCTCCACATTATAACTTCCTCTCGCTATTTTTGGTAATTGAATGGGAGTGTAAAAATGTTGCATAATATCATGCTTGTGACTTTCCTTGGACAGAACATCTGATGTACCATTGGCCTCTCTATATTTATGAACACATTTGAAACATTCACATCCCTTAGCTACTAGACCTTGAAGTTCCTGAACATATCTAAAAATCCTTTAAGGAGGATCAGAAATCTTAAAAAACCACTTAGTTAGAAATGCAAAATGTACCTCTAAACTAATGTTTTTATATCCACGTTGAATACACCAGTTAAGACCATAACTCGCATATTGTATTATTTATTATTCCCTTCACCTAAAGGTATAGCAAAGGCATAAATGATATCATAGTGACATTACTATTCTAAGTTTGTGGTGTCCTAAAAACTCATATTTTTGTCCCTATTGATAGAAGGAACGAATCTCACTAATATATTATATTAATTTTCCTTAATGAGAGATTTTAGTTGCAAAGACACTATTATATCTATGTGGTAAATAAAATGTTGTATAAACAATGTTTACAGATCTCTCTGAAACTATAATTTGAGTTTCCCTAGCTATGCCTACTTTGTCTTAAAAAAGTTAACTAAAAATGATCTTTTAAGACAATGCATATTCTACTATCTCTTTTTGTTTTGTTCCTCTTTAATCTCAATTTGTCATACATACATAAAGCTCACACTTCTGCTCCTTCGCATACTTTAACTTTTCCAGCCAAGGACTTATTTAAAAACTAAGAAATTTAGGGCTATTCTTTAGCATTTCTCAAAGAGTTGTTCTCGGATAAGTGAAAGATCTTTCTTATTTAAAAAACTCTTGCTAAAAAATTAAAAACATCATTAAGGACCTTTACTCTTAGACCTACTGTTGAGTCTACTAGGTCTAACATATATGCTGGTGGTTGGTATTACGGTCCTTTGTCTCACAGTCTTTCAACCCCTCTGTGAGATTCCTTGATTTTTTGTAACTTCTTGTACTTCTTCATGATTTTCTTATTGAATCGTGAATTCAAAAGATCTAGTTAGATGATTCACGGTATTTTACTTACCTAGTAATTACTTTTTCCTTTGTAGTATCATTAACATTAAAAAACTTTTGTGGAGGATTCAAGGTTTGATTTGGCATAAAGAAATCGCCATGACTAGGAAGAAACTTTTATCATCTCAAAACACATGACTCTGATTTTTTACTCGTGACTTCTAAAACTTATTTTTGAAGTAGATAATGATTTAATGATCCTTATTATAATACTAAATATTTAATATCTTGATATTCTAGGAATTCAAATATCCCATCCAAGGATTGGATGAATTTAGCAAGCTATAACAAAGAGTATATTGATGGTGTTGAATCCTTCCTAGATTTTGCTTACTCTTATGGAGATTCAATAGGAGAAGAAATTCAGTGTTCATGTGCAAAATGTTGTAATATTTGTTAGACATTATGGAATGTAGTCTATGATCATCTAATATGCTATGGATTTTTTAAGGGTTATACTAGATGTATCAATCACGGTGAATGTGATATTAATTTGAATGTCGACGATGATATGGATTACTCGCGTGATGATATTGATGGGTTGTTGAATGATCAATTTACAGATGTTGCACATGCTAGAGGAGTTTATGATGGTCCAAATGAAGATTCCAAGAAATTCTATAACTTACTTAACGAGGCAAACAAAAAATTATATCCTGGCTGTATAGGATTCTCTAAATTATCATTCACACTTTGCTTATATTTTTTGAAGTGTTTACATGGATGTAGCAATAAATCATTCACTTCTCTTTTAGAGTTATTAAAAGAGGCGATGCCCGAGTTGAACATTCCTTAGTCTTACAATAAAACCAAGTCTATTGTTAAGAATGTTGGTCTGGATTATGAGAAAATTGATGCATGTCCAAATGATTGCATGTTGTTCAGGAATGATTATAAGGATGATGAATTTTGTCATACTTGTGGAGCTTCACGATATATTCAATATTCTAATGGTTATAGTGAGCTTGAGCCTTTAAAAAAACAACATTGAGTTTCAGCAAAGACTTTGAGACACTTTCCATTAATTTCTTGACTCAAAAGGCTATTAATGTGCTCAAACACGGCAGATTCTTTGAGTTGTCATGAAGAGGAATGTTCTAAAAATGGAAAGTTAAGGAATCCCGCTGATGGTCTAGCATGGAAAGTCTTTGATAGGTGCATCCATATTTCGCACTAGATTGTCGCAATGTGAGACCTGGATTGTCAAGTGATTGAGTCAATACATTTCGAATCATGAGTATATCACACAACGAAGTTATGTTGATGGTTTATAATATGCCGCTTTGGCTGTGCGGGTGAAATCTGAATATTCTATACTTTCTTTACTTTTACGTTGACCGCGATCTATCGGAAATGACTTTGATATTTACTAACAACAATTGATAAATGAGTTGAAATTATTGTGGGATTCTGGGATTGAAACATATTATGCTTCAAGAAATGAAACTTTTCAAATGCGGGAAGCTCTTATGTGGACAATCAATGACTTTCCACCGTATGCTTTGTTATCTGGTTGGAGTACAAAAGGAAAGTTTGCTTGTCCTTGTTGTAATCATGGCACTAATTCGCGTTATATTAAACATTGTCGAAAAATGTGCTATATGGATTATTGGGTTTTTCTACACATGGATCATCCATGGAGATCTAACAAAAGATCATTCAATGGAAAAATTGATTTCAGGCCTCCTTCACCTCCCTTAAAGGGAATTAATGTGCTTAATAGGTTACATGATTTTGAAAATGTGTTCGGAAAGAAGAGAAAGAGATCAAATGATGGCACATGGAAAAAAAGTCAGTTTTTTTAATAACATTACTGGAAGAACAACTTGTTACGTCACAATCTTTATGTAATGCTCAAAGAGAAGAACATAGTTGATAGCATTCTTGGAACCCTTTTGGATATTTCTGGTAAAACAAAGGATCATGTAAATGCCCGATATGATTTGAAAGATATGGGAATCAGGAAGAACCTTCATCCAGAAGATACAGAAGATAGTAAGAGAACAAAGATGGCAAAGGCATGCTTCTCTATGACAAATGGAGATAAATCAATTTTTTGTGTCGTTTTAAAGACAACCAAGCTACCTGATGGTAGTGCCTCCAATATATCTAGGTCTGCGAATTGGATGAAAGAAAAGTGTCTAATTATGAAACTCATGATGCTCTTTTGGTGTTGCTTTACTTGCTTCCAATACCAATTAAAAACATTCTTCCTGATCATGTGGCTATTCCTTTGATTCATCTTAGCTCCTTCTTCCATCATTTTTGTCAAAAAGTAACAACATTGGTGGAACTTAATTGCTTAGAAGAAAAGATCATAGAAACAATAAATCAGTTGGCATTTTTTGATATAATGATTCATTTTCCTATTCATTTGGCAAATGAAGTGAGATTAGAAGGTCCACTTCAAAATGGATGGATGTATTCCACAGAAAGAGAAATAGGTACATTCAAATCATAAATCCGGAACAGACGTTATCCAGAAGGTTGCATATCAGAGACACGAGTGGGAATATATTGTATGAATTTATTGTCAAAATATCTACGTGGGGGTGTGCATAGAAGATTTAACTGAAAATCCCGAAATAATAATGAATGTGACCCAAGTGATGCAGAAAATATGACTTTGTTTCCTAACAAAGGAGTTCCTTTAGGAGCAAAGAAAACTAATCCATTCATTTTAGATGACAAGTCACTCGGTCAAGCACATGCATGCTTATTTGGAAATTTTAACGAGGTTGAAGGATATATTAGGTACCTTAATTTTCATTTTGTGTTCATTTTATATAATTAATTTTTAACTTATTTTATTTATTCTTTTAAAAAAAAGAGTTCATGGTGTGTAAAGAGCATGAGCAAGAAGTAAATAATCAGGCACGAAGATCTAAATGGAGTAAGCCCAAGAGTTATTGTGAAAACTTCTCTCAATTGTTTGAAACTCGTGCTTTGCAAGAGGATGTGTCTGATTTGATAAAACAGTTTTCGAGAGGTCCAAATTCTGTTGCAAAAAGGTATTCTAGGTACCTCATTAATGGATATAGATTACATAATAGGCAGCGTGATTCAAGGTGTAAAACATAAAATAGTGGTGTTACACTGGTTGCCTCAACTACAAGTTTTGCAAACTCAAAGGATAAAAATCTGATTGCTGCAGATTTGACTTATTATGGTAGAAAAGTTGATATTGTTGAGCTAGACTATTACGTCCATTTTAAGGTTGTTCTATTAGAGTATGATTTGTATGAGGTTTAAAATTATACTTATGGCCTTAGGTATGTCTTTTTTAACAAGATATGCTCTCAAGAAGAGCCTTTTGTACTTGGATCTCAAGTACACCAATGTTTCTATGTGCAAGATCCATATGATCAAGATAGACATTATGTATAAAGACTGTTCCGAGAGATTTGTTTAACATGAGTGATCAAGTTGAATCTAGTCTCTAACAAAATTATGAAAATGATCTATCTGTACATTCAGTGGGACCATCTATACCAAAATATAATCGTGAAGTTCTCTTAGCAAGGACTAATTTACCAGAAACAGTTATTGATGTGCCTTTTGAAGAATTTATTACTCAACAACTTGAAGATGAGTATGAAGAGAAATTCAAAAATGAGTTTGAAGACGAGACTTAAGATGAGTCTGAAGATGAGCCTGAGGATGAGTCTGACGAAGAGTTTGAAGAAGACACACCATGAGTTTCATTATTTGTGTGATGACTATGTGTTGCTCAGTTACTTGTTTGTCATTTAATTGTTTTTTTTCTACAAGCACATTAAGATATGTAATATGTGGAATTGAAGTTTAGATCGCAACAATCTTCCAGTATTCTTTTGGCTTTTTCCCTTCATTTCTTTTATGATATAAATATGTGGAATATTTTGAGTTTTATACATTAGACAAGGTTTATTAGTGCTTTTGCTCATAGGTTTATGTGACCATTGCAGTTCAAATCTGAGTTTTGGTTGAAGACACTGCTGGTGACACAACAGTGCAAGTGAATAATGTAATGTGCTTTTCTCCACTAGGCATGCTAAAAGTATTATTGCATTTCAGAACCTTCTTGGATTATCTATAAATTGAACCAATTGCCTTATTGGAAGTATCCAATTGCCTGAAATATTGAATTCGCTTTTTTGTCTGTGGTGACATCCTTGCCTATAACATTTTTAACAACTGTTGGACGACTATATGGAAAAAAATAAATTTCACAATGAGACATAAGTAGAGAAATATTTTTGCAGTCCTTGGTTAATATTCCATTGAAATAAGAAAATCCAATTTTTTACTTAGGAAAACTGATGCATCATGAAAATTCCTATCAAAAGAAGCTAGGTTTTAAACTTTACAGTCAAAGATAGTCCAACAGTTATAAGAATTGATGGTATATTCTTATGTATAGCTTCAAGTTTTTGAATGACTATATGAATGAACAAGGTAAGGAATTATCAAGATATGTAAGGTGAAAGCTCAAAAGCATGACATGTAGAAGGAACGTATGAAAACCATTTTGTACAAGGGAAGTAATACTGCCAGGATTTAAACTACCACTATGTTTGTATTTGAAACAGAATACTCTTCAATATTTGTAATCTATCACTATGAAGTTTGTGGCCAATTGATTTTTACGATTATTATTTTGTAGGTCTACTTTATACTAGGAAAAAGCAAGAAGAATGAATCAATCACCAATACTAAACATAAAGGGTTCTAATCCTAACAAGGCTCAAGTCATTGAAGAATCTGGATGCTGATATGCTATATTGCTCAAGTGCTAAATTGGTCAATAAATTTAAGATTAAGAGAGAAAACGTTGCAAATGAGCGCAATTATAAAGCTAAGAAAGAGAACCTACCAATAGCGCTTAAAAGAAAGAAATCCGATGATTTCATTCAACAACAAGGAAAAAGTGAATTTGTTGGCCACAAATCAGTTATTCAGTCATCTCCCAGGAAGAACGTAGTACTGCAAATATGATTGTAGGGAAAGGACAGAACAAACCAAGGTCATTTCAATCTCGAGAGTCCATTCAAGAGAAAGGATTTAAACTGCCTATGCACAATTTCAGGTTGCAGATGTCGTCTAATGAAAATGTTACTTCGTCTGTACATCTGACTGGAACAACACTACGTAATGGAGAGGAACAACATGAAATTCAGGATCTGTTAAACTTCAAACTGGTGAAGAGGAAGTTGGTCCTACCAGCCACTAGTGTTGAACAGTTTCTTAAAGACCAAGAGATACATAAAGAACATAATATTGATCATGATCTACCAACAAAGAAACACATAAATAAGAAGTCATCCATACCACCTACTAGTCTTGATCAGTTTATGAAACAACAAGGGATAGTCATAGGAGATAAAAGAAAACAAATCAACCACATAGTTGCTGATGTCGAGCATACACCTACTCCTTCTATTAATCTCCATAATAAAGGATTGGATGCTATTGAGGGTGAAGTAGAAATCAGAAAGGATGCAGTTAACGAGGAAGTTGATATTGATTGCAGTACAAAAGGTATGTTTTAAATCTTGTAAGATTTATTTATCATTATGGAGAAATTTCTTATTTCCTGTCTTATAGATATATCGGAGCAGAAAAACGTTCAAGGAAAAACAACATATAAGAATATTCATGCAAGAACTTTGGAAGAAAAAGAGGAAGTGACATTTGATAAAGGACAAGAAGTGGACCAACCAATAAGATAGTGTCAGAATTAACATATTTTATCGGAACAATTGCATGAAATCCAAGATTCATTAGCTTGATGTACATTAGTTGGCATGTCGTGCAAAAAGATATTTAAAAGCGCATATGAAAATATATCAATGT